AATTAAACAACTTAAAATAAAATATTTGTTCATCTTCGTCATTTAGTGTTTTCGGAGGTAGTAAACGTGAAATGACCGACGCGCGCTCTTGCAAACCGGTTTTGTCCTGTCTCAAAACGATTTTACATGACGTGTGGTTTGCTGAGTGATTCGACCGCATGCCAACACGACGCGCCTGCGATAAACTAGTACCCAGAGCCCAGAGCAGTCCTTGTGGCGTCATCAGAATGGAATGTGAAAATCCGGCCTTCTGATTGGTCCATTTGTACCACGTGACCCAAATACTCGATTCTGATTGGTCAGGCGCTATACCAGCTCACTATTACTACTGTCATTTATGTATAGAATGAACAATAGAGGGCCTAAATTGATCCTTGAGGGACACCACACTTGATGGTTTGCATTGGAGAGCACGCTTGATTGAATGGGACAAATTGCTGACGGCAAGGAAAGTAGCTTTAAAACCACTACAGAGCCACGTCACGGATACCATACTGCTCCAATGTGGGAAACAAGATTTGATGGTTGAGAGTGTCAAATTCTTTGATCAGATCTAAGAAAATACCCACCGTTGTTTCGTGTTGTCGATTGCAGACGCTATTTTATTTACCAAATAAATTAGTGCGTGCGATGTCGAGTAATTTTTCCGAAATCCAAACTGACAGCGGTAAAGTATATCGTGTTTGTCAGCAAATTCTACTGAGCGATTGTAAATGACTTTTTCGAAAAATTTGGAAAAATTAGACAACAAAGAAATAGGTCTGTAGTTTACAATAAAGTTAGGATTCTCTTCTTTGAAGGTGGGAATAACTTCAGCGATTTTAAGTTTGTCCGGGAAAGGTAGATCGATAGTTTCTGCCAACGGAGCAGAAATAAGGTGAAATGAATACGTTACTGGGAGACTGTCATAGCCAGGAGCCTTCTTTTAAGCGAACATACCACAAATGCTTTCCAGTTCACCAGTTTTGGTGGGCTTTAAGTTAATTGAGGGATGGTTATTATCATCAAGATAAGAACGAAAAGAAGGATTCACACTGGGTATCGATTTAGCTAGGTTGGGACCATGTTTGCAAAGTAATTGGAGAATCTCAGCGATCTCCATTGGATTCGATAATGTTCTGCCTTCAGTTGCCATTTTTGCACTCAGGAAATTTTTTTTCCAAAGTTTTCGGCATAACTTTTACGTCTACTGTGAATGTGACGAGCTGGAGGGGCTGATGTGTTTGGCTAAAGAAACTCAAGCCCCGTTCGCAAGTCTTTCCTGGGAGGCTGCCTTATCACGGTTATTTTCCTGGGCCTGTTGGAAGTGAAACTGTTGGAATGTTGATTTCAGGTTGCCTCGCTGTACCATATTTTAAGACCCGAATTTGTTAACAATTGAGGGTCAAACTTTGATATCGTAAATTAGATAAAATACTTTAGAATCAATAATAAAAATGATCTTTTTTCAAGAGATCAAATAGAGAATTAATTCAAGAAAGGTTATTATGTGATTAATTTTGATGATCAAATCAGGCCTGAAACTCACTGGGTAGCAATGAATATCAAACTCTACTTAAAAAATATGTCAAGTTAATTCTTGGCTCTTATGAATAGTCAGTGCCCGTGGAAGTTGAAGTGGTACCTGTGCCTTTCTTTTAATGAATTCCTAGGATGCATAGACATAGTTACAGGAGCTATTGGAATGAGATGTTAGCATTGAATTTGACAACAGCAACAGGCAGATCTGCAGATGGCTATTAGTTTAACATAAGCATGGTGTAATTGGTTGTTTAAGTTACATAAATGCTTTATGATTGATGTTGGCAACTTCTAGGTTTTTATAATATAATCTTATTCCATCATTAAAGTAGCGATTATGATTTATATGTGATGGTTGCCTGGTTAAGAGTAGTTTGAAATTTCTTCAGTGGTGTCAGCATTAAAGAGTTACAATACCAAATTTTTGATTGTCCTTTGCATGTGAACCTTTTGCTCTCTGATTAACAGACAGGGCTGTCATTAAGGTTTGAAGCAGATGTAACACGCAATAGTTCACCTGTTACACGTGAATACCTGGCCAAAGGTCATGAACAAAGGCAAGGAGTCAAGCATGAAATCTTTCATGGAATTGCAAAGCCTTGTCTTTACCCTCTCCAATGCACTTGTGACTCTTTTTTGGCCAGGCATTAGTCACAGGCAGGCTCTGGGGTATGGCAGACTACTTCACCAGGTTTGCGAAACATTACTTTGAATGATGAAATGCTGCGCAGCTTGGTTAGCAACCACTCAGTCGGAGTAATTCCTGGCTGTGGTGTGAGGGTCATAAGGCACTCGGTCTTGAAATTCTGTGCAATGACTTAAGGGGTTCAACTTCCACGTAATCTGTTGCACCAAAGTAATTTGCGAGTGTGGCTATATGGTTCACAGTAGCTTTCCAAATCAGTGACTTCCTTTGCAAGGAGATGTTGCAAATCATAGATTGAAAGGGCTTGAACAACTGGCAGGGAAGGAAATCTTGCCGATCTGTTCGCTTTTAACATTGTCACAAGTTGTATGAAACCACCAAGGAAGTTGGTACTAGCTTCCGTAAATTTATCATTCTCTGCTTTGTCATCACCCAGTCTTACAAGAATTTTATCCTTCCTTCTCAGGATGTCATCAAGCTTTGCATGGCAGTATGACACAGCAGACAGTAGGGAAGGAAAAATCAGTTCTCGGTGCTGAAGAGTTTTTCTAAGGACCTCAGAGTGTGTGAGAATTTCATTTAGAATGCAGAGGGTAGCAATAAACTTGTGACATCTGGTTTGCATCAGTAGACTACAGGCAGTAGCGTCATCCTTTCTAATGAGGTGAATATCTAAAGATGCTAGTTGAAGTTTACAGTCTGACTGAAAGTCTCTTCCCTCTTCCACAGTTGCGTCTTATTGTAATACATTCCTGTCAATTTCTTGTTCTTGGGCGGGATCTTCGGACGGAAGAAAGAACAGGCATTTGCTATTGCTGCCTGGTATGCACCAGACACGGATGAACATCAGGGCTGAAATTTGGCTGCGGTGATCGATGTGATGACCAATTGTACTCGGTATCTTATACAGGTCACACCAGACATCTCCCTAACCTTTTTTGCAAGTGTAGGTGTCAATGGTGGGCTACAACCTACATACTTTATTTGTCTTAATGGACTCTTCAGAATAAAGAAATGATTAAAATTAGTTATCAGTAAATCAATGAGGTAATTAATTAGTAAATAGATAACATAAGGAAGCTAATTAATTGATTAATTAATTAATTAAAAATAACAAAAGCAATTTTATATGTCCTCAAAGGCCCTGGAAAGTTGAATCTTCCTATCTTCAGGGATGTCTCTAGTTTTCAGACATTCTTTAACTGAGGGTGCCAATTCTAACATGGCAGTCAGGCATTCATTGTGCTTAAAACCAAGTGCAGTAATTATGGATTGGACAAGCTTATTCATCATCATGCATACAGCACAGGTGGAACTCTGACATTTGCTATATATATCCTCTGGCTTCCTGAGATTGACAGTATGGGCAGTTTTGGTCTCCTTCATCCTGTGAATCTCTTGTGTGTATTGTCTGTGTTACATTGATAAATGAAGGTAACAAAAATATTCTAATGTCATAAAACCATTTACATATACTGACACCAATCTTAATAAAAAAATTGATCAATCACCACTTCCAAATATGCAAAGTTAATCCTTGGCTCTTATGAATAGTTAGTGCCCATGCAAGTTTAAGTGGTAGCGGTTGCCTTTCTTTCATTGACTTCCCAGCATGCACAGATAGAATTACAGGAGCTATAGGAACCAAATGTTATCGTTGAATTTGACAACAGGAACAGGCAGATCTGCAGTTTAATGATAAGTTTATCATAAGCACAGTGTTGTTTAAGTAATATAAATGCATTATGATTGATGTTGGCAACTTCTAGGTTTGTACAATATAATCTTCTTGCCTCATTAAAGAGGCGGTTATGATTTATATGTGATGGTTGCCTGGTTTAGAGTAGTTTGAAATTTCTTCAGTGGTTTGTGCCTGTCACTAAGTTTTGAAGCAGGTGTAACACTGAAGAGTTAAGCTGTAACATGTAAATACTAGGCCCGAGGCCATGAACAAAGGCCAAGGAGTCAAGCATGTTGTTTTTCAATGAATTGCAAAGCCTTGCCTTGCCTTTACCCTCTTCAATGCACTTGTGCCTCTTTCTGGCAAGGCATTAGTCACAGGCAGGCTTTGGTGTATAGCAGACAACTTCAGCAGGTTTGGAAACATTGCTTTGGATGATGAAATGCTGCACAACTTTGTCAGCAAACACTCGCTCTTGATATCCTGTGCAATGAACTTGAAGTGTTAGCACTCAGACTTTAGGACTTCAACTTCCACGTAACCTGTGGCGTGAAAGTGGTCTGTAAGTGTGGCTATATGGTTCACCTGGTTGCTCTCCAAATCAATGACTTCTATTTCAGGGAGATGTTGCAAATCGCAGATTGAAAGGGCTTGAACAACTGGCAGGGAAGAGAATTTTGTTGATATGTTCTCTTTTAACGTTGTCACATAAGTTGAATTAAACCAGGAAGGAAGTTAGTACTTGCTTCAGCAATGTGGAGTCCAGCTAAGTCAAATTTTCCATTCCCTGCTTGGTCATCACCCAAGGTCACAAGAATGTCATCCTTCCTTGTCAGTATGTCATCAAGCTTAGCAAGGCAGTATGACACAGCAGACAGTAGGGCAGCAAAACTCAGTTCTGGATGCTGAAAAATTTTGTTAAGGACCGCAAACTGTGTGAGAACTTCTTGGAGAGGGTACTAATAAACTTATGACGACTGGTTTGCATCAGTAGATCACAGGGAAGAGCATTCTCCTCTTTAAGGAAATCAAATATGTGAAGGTACTGGTTGAAGTTTACAGTCTGACTGAAAATCTCTTCTCTCTTCCACGGTTGCGTCTAATTGGAACACACTCCTGTCAATTTCTTGTTCTTGGGCGGCAAGGGACGAG